TACAATGGTAGCATACACAGTATGTGATTATGGATATGGTTGGAAATATGGAAGACATAAACTATATAGCTTGACATAACTATTGTACCACTACTATTCCTATGTATAGACATGTACACACACACATGTACACACTAAATATACATATGCATACATATACATACACATATACCTGCACATGTCCGTACACATGGAAGGTCCATTATGCATGAAGTGGTGACCGTGGATGTTCACAGTGTCCAGTGACTTATGACGTCGTGATTGAGGAGTTAGAGTCTAACTGCTGTTGGGATGAATGATCTGCGAAAGCGCTCCTTCCTGCAGCGAGGGTGTTTCAGTCTCTGACTAAAGGAGCTGCTCAGCCCACTCACATACTCATGCAGTGGGTGATGTGGGTTGTTCGTGATGGATGTCAGCTTTACTAACATCCTCCTCTCGCCAACCACCTCCACAGACTCCAGGGGACATCCCAGCACGGAGCTAGACCTCCGCACCAGTTTGTCAATCCTGCTCCTGTCCCTGTCCGTGCAGCCACTCCCCCAGCAGGCCACTGCATAGAAAAGGGCAGATGCTACCACAGTGTCATAGAATGTCCTTAACAGAGTCCTGCAGACTCCGAAGGACCTCAGTCTCCTCAGCAGGTGGAGTCGACTCTGGCCCTTCTTATACAGGATGTCTGTATTTGTAGTTCAGTCCAGTTTATTGTTGAGGTGAACACCCAGGTACTTATAAGAGTCCACTATCTCAATGTCTTTCCCTTGGATGTTCACCGGTGTTGTAAAAGTAAAAGAAAAACTTCATTTCAGTCTAAATTTTTAATCTCATAAATGTCTTCTGCTTGAGTCACTAGTAGAACATGAGATGGTGGCCACACATCATTGCTTCTAATCCCTTCTGAGATATTTTTTTTTAGTTTAGTTTAGTTTTTTGTGTGTTTTTATCACTGCTGGCACAATGAGACTGCGCCTGCAGCCATTCACGTTGCACAAGTAGTCCCGCGCCTCCCTGATACCACATCCACGCATGTTGTTGCAAGAAGGTTTGCTGTGTCTCCCACTACAATCTCAAGAGATAGCAGGAGAAGTGGTGTTACGTGAGAGGAGCTGGTCAGGGCTATAAAATTACATCAAACTAGCAACAGGACCAGTATCTGCCCAAGGAGCACTGCTGGAGGCCTAGAAAAGGACCTCCAGCAGGACCAAAACAGGACAATTCCCAGCCTCATGTGGCGAAAGGGTAAAGGCAGTTCTTGTATAATGAAGGTATTCATTTCACTGATGGCCCTCATGTTCCCCAGATTTGAATCAAATTAAGAATCTGGGATGTTACGAGCATCCAAAGCTGCCAAAAAGCACCACAGAGTGTCAGGAGCCCATCAGTGACCTGATTTAGCTCTGAGAGGAGCCTGATCTGTCGACAGTGTCCCGGAGGGTCTTATGGACATGGGGTCCATAAACATGACTCATCCACATTATGGCACAAGTTTGATCAGCCTCGGATTTCAATTTTTAATGTTGTTGGTATGATTTTGAAAACAGTCCTCAAAGCATTGCTGATTTTGGTTTCCAATGACTGTTGTTACCTATTAATCTTCTCATCAAATTATGTAATGCAAAGTATTCAGGGTTCTTTGAGTGTCGTGTCTCTTTCTGATATAATGTAAAGTGTGGGAGAGTTTGTGTAATGCTTTAGGCTCTTGGTAAGGCTCTAAACAAAAACATAGCACACTTAGTGCTATGACATCAATATTATTGAATGGTATGTTTGTCTTTGCTGTAATAAAATTAATTCATTATACAAAAAAGAACCATAAACTTGATGTATTTGAGAATAATCTACTTTCCTTTTCCTGTTAAACAGAATCATGATTGACTTTGAGGAGGCAGACTTCATTTTGGAAAATCAGAAAAGAAAAAGAAAAAAAGATCTCAAAAAAGACAAAAAACCCAAAACCAACATGACTGTGAAACCACAAGAGAGCATCCAGAAGAAAAAGAAAAACTCCCAGCTCAAAGAAGAAAAGAAGGAAAGGAAACAAAAGAAAAAGGAAAAGAAGAAAGAAAGGCAAAGAAGGAGACTGGCCTTAGAGCTAGGCAGCAGTGCTGTATTTAAACAGTGCGGTAGTGCCCAGGAAAAACCTTTTGAGAAGCCTGAAGCATCAAAGCCGCAACAAAATGAAAAGCTGAAGCCTGATCGTCTGACTCAAGACTCCAAAAAGAAATGCAAAAGAAAAAAAAAAGTGGTGTTTGATGTGTCACCCTGTTACATCCGTGTCAAACGGCCTAAATTTGCGTCATCCTCCACCAAAGAGGAGGAGGCTGTGAAAGGCGCTGAGAGCTGTTCACAGGACGCAGTGACGGGGAACAGCCGCGATCAGGACTCTCAGGGCACCAGTGATGACATCAACAGCCAGGACTTGTTTATTACCCAGAAGACTTTCAGAACATCGCTCTCCGAACCCTCCAGCGGGGAAGTCAATGACGGAGCCCTTATGCTATCTCCTCAGGTGCGAACACAGCAAGGCGAGTGCCAACAGCTTAAACGATTTCATGAAGAATCAGAAAAACGGCCACATGACTCACAGCCTCATCAGCTCTTTGTGCAGCCAAACCCAGAAGAACCTGAAGAAGGTAAAGGACATCATAAGATACATGAGCAGAGAAAAAAGTCCCTTCTGAAACAAGAAAACACAAACTTATCTGGAGAGCAAAGAGTCTCACGTTCAGTGCATTTAAAGCTCAGTGAGGGGCATCCTTTCCTGGAGGAGCCAATCATTGTCGACTCCTCCCTGGATCTTGGAGAGCGTTCCCCTTCATGCCTGCCACATATTAATAAGTCATTACTTCCTGCCAGGTCCACAGTGAGCTCTTCCACACAGACAGAAAACTTCTTCACCACTGAGCTCTCCTCCTACCTCAGCTTCTGCCAGAAAAGTAGACCAGCTGTTTGTTTCGATGACGTGAAACCTTTAGACCTGAGCCTTCCACACAGGGTGAGAAAAGACCACAGGAGCTGTTTGTCAGTAATGGAGGTCAACCGTGAAGGAGAAGGAGGCATGGGTCCATCTGGGTCTTCCCTTGTGAAAGAAAATCAGGTGCTTTTGGGTCGAGGAGAAACAACTCCCAGTCCGCAGTTGTCAGAATCTGATCAAAAGTCTGCTGATACAACGACATCGAGCGAGGACAGCGAGCAGCCGTGCCGCGCTGGCAAGCTGGACCTGATTCAGGTGATACCACATGATCCTATTTGTGTAGTTATAGAGCAACAGATGATAAATTCATCTTACATATTGAACTTTATATTACAAACTTCAGAGCTAACACAGATATCTTTTTATGTGTTTTTCAGCTTCAAACCTCTTGAAATTGCAGTTCTTTCTTTTTTCTTTCACAAAAATACTGAAAATACTGACGTAAGGTGTCCCACTGATGGGAATTGTGCTGTTTTATCCTGTTTGTGGAAAAAAATGTAATGTACAGCTCTTTTAGGAGATTACTGGGAGATTTAAAAAAAATAAAAGTATGACTGTAAAGATTAGTTTGTGGAAGATGTAGGTGTAAGAACCATGATAAAATATGAAAAACAGATTTAACAGTTACAAATTATTGATATTTATTTTCCCATTCTTTGCCACTCAAAGCCTATCCTGTATCCTATTTCTTACTAAAAGTATTCAATATAAACACACACTCACCAGCAGAGTGGCGGCAGGGTCAGTTAACCAGCTCTAAGGACACTCTCACGCTAGTAGCGACTACAGGTGGGTTTTAATTATCGATTTATCGATTAAAATCGATTCTAGCTTGGATAACGTGATATCGATTCATTAAAATTCTGAATCGATTTTTAAATATAAATTTATTTTGCCCAAAACGCCAGAATCTCAGGTTAAACCTCACAAAATTTCAGCAACCACCAAACAGCTAAAGCAGTAAATAAGAGCAGGTACACGGATTCTGCACAAAGTCGTAAACGCAAAGCGCGGAGATGTGGCTTTCTCACCCGACGGCACGGACACGGTCGGGGCTGGAAGCCGACAGCTCGCTGAATCTGATGTTTCGGCGAGTCCGCGGTCAAATCACTTTTGCGCTAGATTCAGAAGCTGTAGGTTTTTATCTCTCTCCAAACAATATTGACTGAACCAGCAGCAAAAGAAGATCCAAACTACACTTCACACTAAACATCGTCATGAATTCCCTCCCAGTTTTGCTGTTTTGCTTCCACCACAATAAAATCACACTTCATGCAGAGCTCGCTCGCTCTCTCTCTCTCTCTCTCTCTCTCTCGCTTGCTTATTACACACAAGTCTGTCGTTGTTTACAGCGCTGTCGGCCGCTGTTTTTTTTCCCCTTTTACTCACTTCTGAAAAGAAAGCCTCATTTCTGCTGTTCAATTATGAACAAATTTAAACTTTTTAAAATTATGCAAAATTGCAAAACACTTAGCTGTGTTGCAATTCTGTAACTTTGCTCTGCTTCACTTCAGCAGCATCAGGTAATGTTCATGTGTTGATTAATGGTTTTCTTTCGTTTTGAGCTACTGCAGAATATTTTTAAGGTCATCTGCTATAAAATCCCAGGCCAGGAAAATCTCCTTCATGTTTTTCTGTGTTACTTTGACACAAAGGCATCTGCTGTGATGCTTACACCTTTGATAAAGTCTCGCAAGTGTCAGCTTTCTTTTTATAGATATAAAAATATGGAAATGTACTGATGCGTGATCAGAATTATAGTATTTCTGACTGAGGCAAAATTTCCCCGATTAAAATCGAATCGAATCGGATTGAATCAAATCGTGGATCGAATCGATTCGGGACCTTGTGGATCAGAATCGAATCTATTCTAGAAATCAGTGACGATACCCAGCCCTAGTAGCGACCATTGTGTTGTTCAAAGTTTTAGGAGCAGGGGTTGCTCAGTAGGTAGCGTGGTGGCCCCATGATCGGAAGGTACCTGAGCAAGGTACCGTCCCTACACGCTGCTCCCCAGGCACCCAATGGCTGAGTGAATTGGTTAAATGCAGAGAGGAATTTCCCCACAGGGATCAATAATGTATATATTATTATTATTATTATCTTTCAATCAGTGACAGACGTTCTTTGACTAGTTCCAATAACCAAGACTAGAAAACCATTGTTGATATCGTATGTCCAGAGCACTAATAAGGATTACTTGCATGTACGCTGACTTCAATATTTGAGGCCATGTTGATTATGAGTAACACCTTGTAAAAGTACATATGTAACACAAAATAAGGATAAAGATAATATGGTCACCTTTAATGATTTTGTTTAGGACTCTTTTGACAAGTTGCAAAAATTAGTGTCACGTAGATGTCCGAGTTGTTGGCAGGGCCGATAAAAAGTATTAATTCAGTAAGGACTAGATGTTACAATCCCGGACAATGCATGAAGATTCATTCACTTTTTTAAACATCTCTCAATCTGTCAGATTTCTCTTATCACCCTTAAAAATACTGGTGACCAGCAGTGCTACCCCTCAGCCTCCTAGTAGACACACTACTAGGAGGCTGAGAGTATCAAATTTAGGCATCTTATTGGGGCCAAGAAAGAAATTTATCCAGGGCTGTGCATTTCAGTTGGTTCGTGTATTTTGACATTATAAACACTTAAGAATTTCTGTTTTTGCTGAGCAGTAAGAAATGTTTATCAGGAGAAAAGGAGTAACTGAAGTTTCTTCCACTGTTCAGTAACAGTATGACTTTTTTTGGTCCTCAGGTCAGAGCGGTCCAGATGAAACTCAACGAATCCTTCTTTTTCAAACCCAAAGGAGAGGGACGGTCACCCAGGCCTGAGTCACCGCTGATGAAACTCTCTCAGGGCAGAGACACTAAAAGGAGGAAGAGTCGCTGAGGTCACAGGGTTTTAATATAGGCTGCTATTAGCCCTGTTGGCTGACGTCAACAAATAAGATGTGACGTTTGTGTTGACGTTAGTGGCCAATATTTATCTGTTCAGTCATATCAATTTCGTGCTGACTAAATGTTCAGAATTTCATCTGAAAGCCTTTAAAAACTTTTATATAAGATTAAATGAAATCGTTACTGCCACACGAACAAACAAAGAAGACTTAAAAAAAATTTATTTAACACATTAATATGGACCTAGAACTTCACAATTGGAGCACGCTTAAACTTTCCTAGCAGACACCATCTAACGTCTGGAAAACTGTTCAATTTTATGAGCTTCAGCTGAGAAGCAGCGTGTGTCAAGTGTCGAGCATTCCTGCTGAAACTCAGCCTGTGCCTGAGGGTCTTTAAGTAGAAGGACAGTGACATTAACACTCAGTGAGCTCAGGTATTTTATTATACATGCTGTAAAGTTCTGATCTACATTATATGGACAACAGTATTGGGCCACACGCCTCAGTTCAGGTGTTTTCGGTCCCATTATCATAAGGTTAAAACATCATACGCCCAGATGTGCAGTCTGCCTTTACAAGTATGAACATGGTCCTCCAACATCAGCACAAACACTGTGTGCTGGGAGCTTCATGGCTGAGCAGCTCCTGTACGTGTAACGTGTAGCTGTACGTTTATCCAAATACTATATGTTAGGAACATGAACAGAAGAAACATGCTTGCATTAAAAGAAAAATAAACTTCTGGGATAGAAATTACTGATTACTGTCTTTTGACCTGTTCTTCTAAAGTTTTTAGTATTCTGTCATGTTTTTTTTAATTGCTCTGTAAGTTTGTCCGGCAGTGGCAGTTTTTTGATGCCATGTCGCTATGACAGCATGTCGTAGTTCATAACATCATAACAAATAATCTATTGTTAAAGTTTATTTATTGTGACATAGTAGAAGTTCACTTTCTGTTGAGTGTTGATGCAGTATTTACCAAGTTCTTAAATGGTGCTAAATAAAGATCTTTATTATTTAAGTCTGTCTGCCAGCAGAGTTTGTGTGTTCTGCTATGAAACATGGAGAATATGTGAAGATGAATTAAGACCTTATATTCAACCAAGTGCTGCAAAAGGCAAGCTACATGAGCAACAGATGTTTTAAAATGATCTCAGTGTTTTCAGATGGATTAGTGAGAGTACAGGTCCAGAGGTGGGCCAGACCCACCATCACAGACAAGGAGAACATGCTTGCAGATAAGTTCTGATGCACAAACTACTGAATAAATGCCAGCTGATGTATTACATGTGTTTTTCTTGCACAAATGAAACATACTCTTTGAACATCAGAGCCGAACAGCAGTGGTGCAGAGGTAATCCAGCACCTCCGTCTCATTGGACAAAAAGCTTTTGGTCAGAGTCCAGTCGGTTTTCACTTTGGTCAAGCTGTTATTGCTTAAATGTGTCTAAAGCATCCCAGAGTCTGATCCTGGGAAAGCTTCACTCCTCACTGGTCTCAGCCTCACATCTCACAGCAATCAGATATGGAAGATTGAATTCAGAGCTCTCTTTTTCCTAATTATTCTTCTGAAACCAATTTTATTTCAATTCTTACTTTTAATCATTCTGGAAACAAGATAAAACAGATAAAAAGTTACTTTGTTGAAACACACCTCTTTCTTCTCCGCTTGTGTTTTCACGTTTCCCTAAAATCCCCCAAAATCAGTGTAATTCAGTCCAAGTCAAAGTGGCCACCAGGGGTCAGCTGTTGCCCTTACAAGATGGGCTTAACAGCATGAAAACAACACAACTAGTGTCACTTTAAATATCCACTGGTCCCGTCCCAACTAATGGCCTATAAAAAGGTATTTTACCAAGGTGTCACGCAAGAAACATTTCACTATGTGTAAAACCAATGAGCTGTCTCAAGACCTTCACAACCTTATTGTTGCAAAACATTGCTCCCTTTTTTTGTGATAGCCAGCTTCCCGCTTGCTTCCCTAACTGCAGCTGATGCGACAGGGCTTTGGCGCGGGTTTGCTGCCGTTGCTGCAACTAGGAACCGGGGAATATGGAGGAGTGAGGTGGGAATGATTTTAATTTCCGTAATTGTTCTCCGTTGTGGGTGTTTGTGGAGTGCATGTTCAAAAATAGTTGGGAATGGAAGCAGCTGAGGATGCTAGTTGGTTATGCTTTTCATATCTGAAAGTGCAATTGTTAGTACCTTGATATCTTTTGAATCAGATATCTGGGCCTAAATCCTGAGAAGCCATGAAAACTCTCCAGTAAGCTCCCATCCAAAAGCATGGCGTGGTCTGCTGGTTCCATTCTGCAGCCGTGTCGTTCTTTAATGGTGAGGCAGGAAATGGACCCAAAGATGCAGACTTGGAGGCAACCTTGAATAACCAAAGACTGACCTTTATTTAGTTGGCAGCTGCAAATCCATAGTACAAATGAAGACAGAGATGAACTAAATCAAGGAAGTACTACAGCAAAACAGAACTAGGCATGGGGAACATAGGAGGACATGAAAAACTTAACACCTAATATCAGAATAAAAACATAACCTAGGCAAAGGTAACATCCAAACTGAAAACTCCAAAAATCTAAAAAGGAGAATATAAAACAGGAAACTGGGTATGCCCGGTACAAAACCCAGGCTGCAGCTGTCTTATAAAATTGCTAGCATGGGTTAACATAACACAAAGCTTTATTATGCTTGATCATGAACTCTGAAGAGCTTTATTCATCATCGTTCTGCAGATTGGCCATTGATGCAAAAGCTTCTTGAGCCCAGGTGACGCTCTGGCTCACACAGATGCGTCTCCCGGTGGCTGTACCGATCCTGCAGGAAGATTACAAGAGAGTTAGGATAGAAGATACCACGCTGTGCCTCGTGTTTTCATGCATTCTGTTTTGTGTTCAGAAATTACAATTACTGAAATTACTCATTGTGGTGACATACACAAATGCTTTTTCCAGACAGGCGCTGTGAGACTTGAAGACAGAGACTATTTTCTTCGGTGGTATCCTTCCAGTAAAGAATTTGAAACAGCATTGTCCATGAGACATTTCAAGCAATTGTTGAGCTAAAAGGAAAAAAAATAATAAAAAGACAGTAAAAAATTCAGTTTCATAGCAGCATGTGTCAAAGGTGTTGAGCATTGTTGCTGAAACTGACAGTCTTTAAATAGAAAGGCAGTGACATTAACACTGTCAGAGCGCTCAGGTCCTTTATGATATACACTGATGATGTTTTAAAATAACTCATCAGCCCAAGATTACATTTTAAACAGAGTGGAGTTGCTTTCAAGTTTTGTAAAATGTAAAATGCATTAACAATAATAAGTTAAAGTTAACAACGAAGTATAATCTGAGGTTCAGCTGATCTGAACATTGATTGAACTGAAAGACAATAAAAAAGATTTTTAAACACCACAGTTATTTAGGGATTTCTTAAAGCCAGCAGAACTTTTGTTCCCTTCTGACTCTACTAACACTCACTGAAGATGAACTATCAGCTCCCATTAAACCCTTCAACCAGAACTCATGTGACAGTAATCTGTATCGATTAGAATAAACACAACCTTAGTCATGATCATTATAATGGTCCTAAATGACTCGTGGCAAGATAACTAGCTAATACTGCAGAATTCCTCTTAGTTGACGCTGTTCTTTAGTGATGCAAAAATCCATTTGGGGCTCATTTAACCAGCTGGTAACACAGCTGTGAGGATGATATTATTTTCAACATGTTTTGTAAACTAAGAGAAAAAGGTGATTCAGAATCTTGAAATTGACATTTCTAAAATGCAGTTGCACAAAATAAAAAAAATCATAATAAATCCCTCCAAAAAGTTTCATAACAGATTAAAATGCAGCATATAGAACTGATTAACAACAATAAGTTTATTTAAAACCAGATAAAAACAGGTATAATTGGAAATAATTCGTCTAAATTTCAGGAGCAGGAGCGTTCCTCCATACACTCCCCTGCACTACTATCTGACTGGCCCAGGAGCCGCCACCAGTCCCCTCTGAGGCCTTCCTCAAACCCCAGCCTCAATTCATGCTCAAACCATCTGCCATTATCTACTAGAAATGCTGTCAAACCTTTTTGCAGATGTGGTCCCAGTTAATTAATCCGAGGTATAATGTTCACTCATTTTCTTAGTGTAACTTGTAAAAGTTACGACCAATCAAAGAAAAACATTAAAGGGCCTCAGATTACATTTATCTTCAGACTGTAAAGCAGACTGACAGACTTACGTGCAGCAGCGCAGTAATAAACCGTGAGCAGCAGAAGCAGCAGTCCCACTGTGGCCTTCATGTTTACTCCTCTCTGGATGTGATGATGTCCTTCTGCTGTTGCTGTAAGAAGTGATCTGAATGTTTAATGCAGTCTCACGCTCACTTAAAGGGCCGTTATATGTTTGTCACGGTGAGTTTTTCCTGTCACTTAAACACAAAGATTAGAAATCACCAACCAAGCGACATCTCTGCAGCTACTCCACACTGCATACAGAGACAGATAACATCAAGAGATATAAAAGTATTCGACTCAACTAAGTAGTTACATTTAAAATATATTAATCTGAAATGAGATGACCCAAATGCATACTGTACAAGGAGAAAACGCACCTTTTATGAGGACAGTCCAAAGTCCAAAAGATGCAACAAGTCCAAAGAGTGCAAAAAAAGCAACATAAGTCCAAGAAACAGACAAGAAGCACACAAAGGCAGATCACTGAGGAGTTAAAGAAATGCCACCTCAAAGATTAAAGGGAGATGGCTGTAAAAACAGGATTATGTAACAATAGGAAATGGGAGGGAAACTAAGGAGAGCAAATGGGAAAGAAGAAAAACAACACAGAGGAAGTAAAACTTGACACAAGACACAAAAGAAACAAGCTAACACATTAAAACAGGAAGTAAGTAAATACTGAAGCCAAGACACAGAAAATAGACACTGGGAAACACTGGAAAAGGCTTTGAGAACACAAAGAACTACAACGAATAAACCCGAAGGCAAAATACTAAACAGAAAATAAACAGGAAACAAAAGTTAATCAAGAGATTACAATGGAAAACTAAAAATGAAAGTAATTGAGAGAAAAGCTCTAAATAATCCTAAAATCCACAAACTCCCATGATGGAAAAAAACATGAACGTGACACGAAAAGAAAGGAGTGAAAGAATAATTCCAGTTTTTTTCTTCCACGTGTATTTCTTTTTTCTAACACGCCTCTATTAACCCTTACAATCCATATGGGCTTCACTAGGAAACAACATAACAAACATTTAGCAGAGTCAAATGACTTCACAGTAGTCATGGGCACCTGCTCCAATCAGAAGCTGGGTGGTTCCATATGTCCCAAAATTACACTCACTTGACACTTTCTCTGGTACAACGTGCCTTTATCAGGTTTTCCCCATTTTACCATCAGAGCTGTCTCAGTTCTTCATGGCACAGATTCAAAAAGATGCTGAAAACATTTCAGAATTTGGTGAGCGAATTGTGTGCTGTACATCCATGATGCATCTCTCCTGTTCCAGCACATCCCAAAGGTCCTCCTTTGGATTGAGGGGTGACGTGGAGCTCATTTGAGTACACTGACCTCACTGTCATGAGCCTTCTCTATAAGAAGTCATTACTTCCTTCCAGGTCCACAGTGAGCTTTCCACACAGACAGAAAACTTTTTCACCACTGAGCTCTCCTCCTATCTCAGCTTCTGCTAGAAAAATAGACCAGCTTGATTAGAGGACCTGAAACCTTTAGACCCGAGCCTTCCACACAGGGTGAGAAAGGCCCACGGGAGCTGTTTGTCAGTAATGGAGGTTCAGGTGTCTGATATGGAGTGTCCTGCAGAGCAGTCATAGAGATTACATGAATATACGCTGACCTCATTATTTGAAACTCTGGCCATGTTTAATGTAAGTCTCTGCGATGTAACAACACACATGTAACAGGAAATAAGGATAAAGACAGTAATGTAAGTAAGTAATTTTACTTAGGACTTTGTTACCAGGTCACAAAAATAAGTACGGATGTCACAAAGATGTCTGAGTTTTTAACAGGGCCCATAACAACTATTAAAAAATATTTAAAAAAAACACACGAAGTTTCATTCACCTTTCATTCCTCGAGTTAAATTCAATTTTATTAATACAGCGCCATACATCTCGCAATCTGTCAGATTTCTTTTGTCACCTTTACAAATGGTTGAAGTCGCATTCTTTTAGCAGCCAGCAGGGGGCAACTCATGTTCAAGAAAGGAAATATCACCGCAGATGAAACTCTCTCAGGCAGATAAACTAAAGGAATAAAAGTAGGAAGAGCCGCTGAGGTGACTGGTTGCTAAACTGCAGTTCATGCAAAGATATATATATATATCTATATTTTTTAAATTATTATTATGGGGTGATATTAGCCCTGCTGGCCGATATCGACATATCAGCAAATAAGATGGCATATTTTAATGTGATTAGTCAATATTTATCTGTGAAATCATATCAATTTGGTGCTGACTAAATGTTCAAAATTTAATCTGAAAGCCTTTAAAAATTTTATACTAGATATTTTTCTTTCCTCGAAAAATTTAATGAAATTATTTAAACACAAACAAACAAAGAACACTAAAAAAATAAAAAAATAAAAAATGTAATTTCACACGTTGATTTGGACCCAGAACTTTATAACCGCAGCTATCTTAAACTTCTGTAGCACACAGCGAAACGTCTGGAACACCGTTCAGTTTTAATAGCTTTAAGCTGAAACGCAGTTCATGTCAACGGTGTTGAGCGCTGCTGCAGAAACTCATCAGAACACGAGAGTTCATGTTCAGGTTACACGAAACAACCGCTGTTTTCGGCCTCACTCCTAATCAGAAGGCCATGTGTCCGCTACCAGTATGATAGGCTACTGGATTTTTTGGTAGGGAAAAGATGAAGTGTGGAAATTTCTCGTTAAAAAACAAAAACAAAAAAGTAAACGCCCGATTCAAAGCAAACATTTTTTATTTTTTATTGAAAAAACATGCGTGGGTTGTTTTTTTTAATATATATACACAAAGCATTTTGGAAAATACAGTCATTATAAAATTGCTGCTAGCATGGGTTAACATAACACAGAGCTTTATTATGGCTGATCATGAACTCTGAAGAGTATTCATTCATCACCGATCTGCTTTTGCTTAAAAGCTTCTTGAGCCCAGCTGACACTCTGACTCACACAGATGCGCCTCCCGGCGGCTGTACCGATCCTGCAGGAAGATTACAAAAGAGTTAGAACAGAAGATACCAGCTGTGACTCGCGTGTTTATGGATTCGGAGTTTTTTTGTTTTTGTTGCTGTTGGTGGGGTTTGTTTTCGGGTTTTCTTCTTCTTCTTTTTTTGCCTGTCCCATTCGGTACTTAACAATAATTATTATTACCGGGATTATTGTCTGAAGGCCAAGAAAGATGCCCAACTGATTTATTTTTCCATTTATTTTTGGTCATGGCTTTGCCAAATTGCTCCACTTGATAGATCTTAATAATAAAATTATTATTATTATTATTATTATTATTATTATTATTATTATTATTATTATTATTAGTATTGAGCCAGTAAAAAGTCTAGTACATATCTGAATGTAAGTATTACTGCACATTTGAAGGGGCAGCTTCTGTTTGTGTGCATTCACTAACCAACACTTACGGGCTGCTTCATGAGTTAGGCCTGTTCAACTGCGTGTTATACCAGATATTTAATCAGCTCTGTCACATGGCAGCAACTCAGTGTGTTTGGATATGCTCAAGACAACCTGCTGAATTTCAAACTGAGCATCAGAATCAGGAAGAAAGCTGATTTAAGTGATTTTGAATGTGGAATGGTTGTTGGTGCCAGATGCTGGTCTGAGGATTTCAAAAACTGCTGATCTACTGTCAATTACCTCTCTAGGGTTTACAGAGAATGGTCTGGAAAAAAAGGAAATAGCCACTGAGCAGCAGTTCTCTGGCTGAAAATCCAATTTGACTGCCAGAGATCAGAGGAGATTGCACAGACTACTTTGAGCCTGATAGGATGGCAATCAGCCAGGCTGTACTTTAGGACCAGCTCAGTTCTCAACATTCTGGCAGATTTTTAGCTGATGGTGTCATCTTTGGCCTTGGATCAACAGTCACACTCTTCAATCATTCTCCTGATTTCCTCTGACACTGCTCTTCCTTGCCTACTGGATAACTCTCAAGCACTCACCTGCTGGCTTCTGCTGCTCACTCCTCCTCGGCTGTCGGGAGCAAAAAGAAAAGGTAAGATACCTCACCTGCCTGCCCTCCTGCTCACCACTACACCCCATCAGTCTGAGAAAGAAAAGGAAATGTTGGACATCTTGTTTCACTCATCCAGTCACACTCTCTGACACTCACCTGGAAAACCACACCACCCTTAGGAAACCCAGCTCTCCGCGACCCCAAGTAAACAATCATTCATCGCTCCTCTTTGCAAATATTGTGTGCAGACATGACTCATCACTGCCTCATAGTGGATCACACACCTGTAAAACCTCTCACTGCCCTGCTTTAACTACAGTGATCCCTGTGTTCAATGAAGTGTTGCTAATAAGAAAGAAACAGTCTATTGAGTCTGCTTTTGGGTCCTCTTTTGTATTCCTGCTGTCTGTCTGAAACTCAGATGATTTTTAAACTGGGGCCTTGAACATGACAATAAGTTCGCTGTACTCAAATGGTCTCCACAGTCACCAGATCTCAATCAAATAGAGCACCTTTGAGATTTGAGAGATTAGCATTATGGATATGTAGCCCACAAATCTGCAGCATGTACATAATGCTATCATGTGAATATGGACCAAAATCTCTAAAGGAATGTTTCCAGCATTGAATTTGAAAGCAAAATTATGTCCAACCCTACTAGCAACATTTACCTAATAAAGTATATGTGTGTGTTGCCACCCCCCCCCCCCCCCCCCCCCCCCCCCCCCCCCCTTTCCCTCCACCACTGTCCCTATGTATGAATCTGCATCTCCACTGGGTGCACACATGGCATTGCGAATGCACATGACTGCAAAAAAAAAAAAAGAACTCACTTAGAAGATGAGTTGGTTTTTGTTTTTTTGTGGTGTGTGTGTGTGTAGCCAATAGACATATTGGACATGCCAAGTAAGTGTAAAATAAAATTCAACAAATAACAAATGTTTGAGGATTGCCAAGCCCTAAAGAAATTAAGTCCAATAAGGTTTCTCTTTCCTGGTGCTAGTAAACTCACAACTTTTCTAGTAATATCACATCCTTTCCTAATGGGACATCTTGAACGGATCACATACCAGCATGCACACACACATACATATACTGCTGAGACAACACATCTCAGCAGCTGTTGCCGGGAATAAGTTATGGGTCATGCCACCTCCCACAGTCCACTGTGGGAAAATTTTTTCAACAACACAGGAGAACAATGACTTTGAATGTCTGCCATCTTTCACCCTGGATATCATTTTAAGGTTTTCAACACTCACCAGTTCAGGGTGTTCAGCCAGCTGGCCACTGATGTTGTTCCATGGAGCCAATTTTATTACACATGACGATAAAGCGCTAGAGATTAAAAAAAAAAAGGGGGGTAATTAACTTGTAATTTAACGCCATCTGCAGGACATGCGCTGCAAGTGTAAAATAAGTTTTGTTTTTTGTTTTTAATTGTCGGATTGAATGAAGTCCGTTGGGATTTTTGTGTATTAACAAAACAGGAGAAAACGGTAGATAAGTAGAAAAAATAACCATAGCTTTCGCATTACTTTTCAGTGAAAGTGAAATAATTCAAGGCTTTCTCCTTATGTTAAGGTGGACGTATAGCGTCGTTGTTATGGTAACCACAACACACCAGGAAAGTGAAAAGTCGGTGATTGGGTTTTGCTGAGATTGGCTGTGAAATTATTTAAAAAAAAAATTTTTTTTAAAGGCCTGCGAAGACTCCAGAGATATAACAATAAGGAAACTGTTTCCTTGTTTATCTAACAAACACCAAAAAACCGGACACAGCAAGTAAACTGGCTAATAAGTAAGTTTCTGCATGCTTTAAATGAACAACACACTTGTTGTACACTTGTGCTGTATTGTTATGTTGTATACACCTTTTCGTATCACATTAGCCCATTTTTTTTTCTATTTTTATGGCCTTCTCGTGTGCCTTAGCAGAATTTAGAAGCAGAAACTAAGCTGGAGCCGCTTAGCACCAGTTATAGCCGATAAGCTGTCATAATTTGGTCTTTTTGCGTTTTTCGAAAAGGTACGTTTACCGTGTGACGTTTACAGGTCTAATAATATACATGATCTTAAAATTTTCTGAATATGTTTAGGACAGTGCTCACGAATTACTTTGTGGGATCTACGTTTAAAAAGAATATTTATTGATTTTGATTTCCGGTGTTCACCGGCGGAAGCGTAATCCTTCAGAATAAAAGCAGGCTTTTGCATGTCTAATTCGGTGTGTTCCGCACATACAAAACTTCTAATCATCCATCCATCCTCTTCCGCTGATCCTTCTCGGAGTCGCGGTGGGGCTGGAGCCGATGGCAGCTATCATAGGGCAAGAGGCGGGGTACACCCTGGACAGGTCACTGTGAGACAACAGTGCTAGCCACTGCACCGCTGTGCTGCCCACTTTTAGTCTTATGTTTTATTTATTGGTAAGCAAGCATAGGGAAGGCCATTAAATGTTGAAACTGTGTGCCAGGACTTTGGTGTAACAAATATTTCATATTTTCGGATTCCTGTCCCACGCAGCCTGTAGGATACTAATGTTTGTTTAGTGTGTTTCTGTCCTAAATATTATTATGTTTTGATCCAATCACTAGTGAATCCATCCCAGGAGGAGACAGAATGCAGGCCTCAGAGTGCAGAAGTTGAAGTGGAAGAGCAAGATGAGGATAAGGGAATGGAGGAGGACACCCCTCTAGTGGCCGTTGCACCCGATGCTTCACTCCCAGAAAAGCAGCCCTCAGCCTCCATTGTGGTCTCTGCTGGTCCTGCCTCCCAGTGTTTAGATGAGGTAACAATCATGTGCATTGTTATGTTGTTATTTTGTGAATGGCATTTTTAAATTGTTTTCAGAAAGACAAACATCCCTATTTGATAGTTATAGTGGCAGATTTAACTGCCATGACTCAAAAGAAAAGAAAATAGTATCAGATATGATATAGATGCATGTATTTGCACAAGGCTAATGTTCAGGACTATTATTTCCTCCATTCTTTTGCAGTTTAATTTCTGATAACAAAGTATTGCACATGCATAATGTGCGTTAAAGTGTTTGTCATAAACATTAAGTGTGAAAAAAAGTGAATATTTAGGAGTCATCCTGTGAATGAGCACAACACTTTTATTAACTTTATCATCACAGACAGTAAACAGACAGTAAAGTCACAGTCCCACAGTTTTATCATCTTCTGCGAAGCCAATATGAAATCTGCCTTTTATTTAGTGGCTTTATTGGTTCAACACCTCATAAACCCATTTGTTATGGGCATGCAGCACCTCATCCTGCATTTTTACAAGCCTCATTCAGCCTCGGACACTAGACGGCAGACACTTTCAAAGACACTCATGCGAAACTTGTATACATTTTTTGTATACATTCGTTTGAAAGGCGATTCCAGTACACAAGTGGAGCAGGCATGAAAAGGATTTTAAACCGACCGAACATTGAAATGTGCAACACAGCCATGGAATATTAATTTAATTTTTTTCCCCCAATATAAAAATTGCATATCTATTGGCACAACAGCTGAATATGATTGATAGAAAAGATCAATCTGATACACACAAAGAATTCCAATTTTACGCAGATATTTACTATGAATGATCACAATTATGCCTAGTCCTTGTCATTACTCAAATGTCATCAATCATTAGACTCTGTACTGCATGACCATTGTATCATATAAAAGCTATCATACCTCTCAAAGTAAAATAAATACTGTACACATCCTCATAGTGAAGCATTTCTTTCCCCAATCCTTCCCATTTACAGTGTGTATAAAATGAAATAAATGGTGCTATACAGTTTCCTAACATTAGATAGCAGTATTGTACAAGAAGAGGATTTTACAGATTATGGCATAGAGAAGTGTGCAGTAATTCGGTGCATCCAAAGCTTGGAAACACATTTTTTTTTCCTCACTGCAATGTCCTGCTTCGTGGCTGCTCTCAAGAAGACTCTAGTTAAACATCAATAATGCAGAATGCACACACATACATGACTCAATAGAAATTTATTGGATGCTGCGTATTTATACTGGGATGTCTTCTGTGGTATGGGGTAATGATAAATCGGCAAGCTGCCCGAGAGCAGTGAGATAAATGCCAGAGAAGGGCCAAGTAAAGCTATACATTTATTACTGACTGTAATTTTTCTAACAGTTTGACTCTCCAGCTTGAAGTCTTTCGTAATGATTATCGGACCCACTCAAAACTGTATCATCAGCTCTCGTATACCTCACTTGGGTGGCTGCTGTTAATTACAAAATCATTTACAGCAGAGAAAGTGATAGCTCATTAGTTTTTACTACTAGTATGTGCTGTGCTGTGTTTCTATGCTGGGTTTATGGCAGGAGGCAGCAGGACAGAATGAGAAAAAAAATGTCAAAGACCAGTGAAAAAATCTCTTCTGGTAACCCTCAATTTAATGTTATGGCCCACGTAGGAGGCTGGCCTACACTGCATGGGTTGTTTTTTTTTAAAAAAAAAAAAAAGAATTTTATTAGTCCATCATTGTTCATAGTCCATTGTCCTTTATTATCATCATTTTAATCCAACATTTTGAAGGCCACACTCACTAGAGTGGAAAAGTAATAGCACACTTAAATTTTTCACAATTATTGTTATCATTAATGCACCAAACTACTTATAGTCCTATCGGTGCACACGTACGCATGTGTAAATGTGTAAATGCATGACTACTAGTGAGTGTATGTGTGTATGAGTCCTTATGTACTTGCTCTTCCATTTTCTTTGTCTTTGCCTGCATGACTGCACTCACCAATATTTACCTGTCCTTTTAAGGACCATAGTTCTTGGGCCGTATCATCATTTTGACAGTTTTAAAAGCCTGCCTGTAGTTGGTGGGGTAGTACTCGGTCGACATGTTGTGCCACGTTCCCCAGAAGATCCCGTTCCTGACTCCCTTGTATCGCTTGTGATAGTACTTCCCGTTGAGGTTGGCAGACATGCAGGCGTCAAACCACCAGCCGGAGCTGTAGTAGCCGCCGCAGTTCCCAGAGGGGTACATGTCGTTGTCGCGGTCGGGTGTGGAGAAGAACTTCTGGTCGTGGTTGAAGTGCTTGTTGAAACTGAGGGCGTTCCCAGCCGTCCCACTGTAATGAGACATTGATATATAAGGTGTGCTGTTCCAGTTTAAGGTGTTCTAGCAGCAACTGAGAGTGAGAAATATTGCATGTGCAGAAGTGAACCCTGTACCTGTATCCACTGACAGACAGACGGTAGCGTAGGTACTCATTGGCCACATAGAACTGATCATACTTTGCATATTCCCGGACACCCTCAAAGTCCTCTAGCTCGATACGCAGAATCATATCTTTTGCTTTTGTCAGCAAATGGATATGGTCATTGCCCAGCCAGAACTCACCTCTGCAGGATAGAAAGGAACAAAATGAGGCATGCTGATATATATATATATATAAAGCTCACATACTATGTTAGAATTTCAATTTTTTTAGCAAAATGCATGTGTACTCCAATAGATGAAAACAGGAGAGGACGAGAGGAGACATTCTTTTAGTGGGAGTTTAATGCTGGATATTCAGACATGCTCAGAAGGTTGTTTTGAATAATTTGTTTTATATCTGCAACTTTATGATCAGTTGAAATGGGGTCAGATCATCTACTGTGGTCATCATTTCCCTAAGGCCTAGTCCACATGTAACTTGAGTCTTCTTTTGAAAATGGTGCCTTTTCTCCTTCATTTGCCAAGTAAATAAGTCTGCACAAAAAGATAAAAATGAAATGAATGGGGTTTAAGAGCATGCCAAACCAACAGGCAGCATTACCCTGACCTCAAAGCCATAAACTCTTGTTGGCCTTATGAGCCAAAAATGTTGTTTTTGTACTTGTGATCATTCACTACTCTCTACTCCCTGTATAAGGAGTTTTATGTAGAAAGCTAAATAGCGAGCCCAATAACAAAATGGAAAAATGGCTTCTGATAATATTTGCCTCATTTTCTCTGTCTTGTTGAGCAGAATATATCAACATCGGTTAGATAAGTGACTAATAATGTGCATATTTCTGATAAGTGCATTGAACAGAGTGTAATTCCTCAAGTTGATGAATCTAAATACTTTGTGGCAGTTTATTTAGTGTTCTGCTTTCTTTTGTTTCTTTACTCTGTCTCTTTTACTTCAACACAATGCATGATGGAATGCAGCACTTGGGTTTTCCACTTTGAATACTTTGGGTATAACAGTCCTTCCTGTACATACAACAGCACTACAAATATGGCAGACTCACAGTGTTATCATGTGGACCAAAGACCAAAACACACAGGAAAAAGTTCTGATCTTTTTTAAATATCTCTATACTTCCCCTTAGTTTTATGCATGATAATCAATCACTGATAATGAAAACAGGTGTTGAACAAACAGTGATATAGAGAACAGGTGTGCATCATTAGCTCCTAAGTACTGAGGATTAGACTCTCTCAGGTTTTGGTAAAAGTATTCTGTAGCACATGACATTAAATGAGCTCTAATTCACTGGTAAAAGAACAGTATAGATGAACAATTTCCTACTAGCAAGACAAAAAATAAATACATTGAACAAACTGCTTGTTTTTGTGTATTCTTTCAAAATGTATAGCTTGCAGCTAGTTAGATGAGCATGTGGTAGGCTCTAGTGTAATGAGGGTCCAGAAAATAGTTGAGTTTGACTTAATGCAGTAGTGTGTAGTGCTGACTTAAAATGATACAGGCTTGACATATAACAATGCATGCTAATTAAAAAAGTTGTCCAACCTTGGCCGGACCTGCTTAATGTCACTATGTCACATGACATTAAAAAGAGTTTTCAGTGTCAGTCGTTGCATTTGCAACCAGATACATTATGTAAGGAGTTTGGTTGCAAGCCGGCAGCGTAAACTTTGAAGCTTCTCTGTGAACAAAGAACCTTGCTCTCACTAGCTTAAGGCTTCACTGATACACATGATGCGTGGCACATTTTGTTATTCTAAGAATGTCTTTCAAAAGGGGATGGTGGGGCGAGAATGGGGCGGCGACAGCAACGAGTTGTTCGAGTGGAAAAGGGAGGAGAAGCCGGGATGTGGCTGGGTAAGCTCGCGCGTGGCCTCCTCCCCGGGGGGTGGAGAGAGAGTGAAAAGCCAATAAAAGCTAGAATTCCAACACGGTCCCAGAGAAAAAGCAACGGCAGAAGCAACAGAGCAAAGAAACAAAAAACAGCCCCGGGGAAAGACAGGCAAGAAGTTAACAAAAGGTGCCACGCAGTCATGGTAGCAGTGTGAAGCCAAGCGAGGAGAAGCAAGGTGCGTGGGCAACAGAAAGCGTGCAAAGTGTACGCGGCCGGCGTGCAACCCAAACTCCGACATAATGGAGCGTGTGGGGCAAAATGTGCAACGACGGACACGAAAACCGAAGGTTCAGGTGACATAACATGACAGCAGGTCCGGCCAAGGTGTGGACCAACGTGTTAATGTAGCATGGCAGTATAGGTCAAGCTGAGCAGGTAAGCACACTACACACAGCAGGAAAGGTCAAAACGCAACTAGGTCTGACCCAACACGAAGAGCCTGTTACCACAGCGCAGCAACTAGCGCAACTAGACAGGTGGGAAAGAATACACAAAAACAGCAGGTGGTCAATGGAATGAGGCGTTGCATGAGGAAAGGCGCAGCTAGACGGGCGGGACCAGTAAGAGAGAGCGCATGGAAGGCAGGGGCTACAGAAGACGGGGACCAAAACCGTGAAGAGGTCAATGCCCGCAAGTACTTGTGAGAGCGAATAGGCACACCGGCTCTAGAGCACGGGGCAACACCGGCATGTAGCAGGAGAGACATGCAGGAAAACTGTGAACGGGAAGTAGTTAGAGAAGTTAAAAAGATCAAGAACGTTGGCTGTGGGGGTGGGTCTGGGTGCCACAGAGAACACGGAGGCGCCAGATGCGGTGATGGGTACAGGAAGACGGGTAGACCCAAATGAGCAAAGTGGAAAAAACCCCAAGCGTGCAGTTCCAGCAGGCAGGGGAAGTGGAAAAAGAGACGAGGAAAGAAACAAAGAAAGCAGAACACGTAAAGAAACCCACAAAGGGAGTGAGATGCGCAAATGGAGAAGACAACGCTGCAAGCACTGACAAAAATGGCACAGTATGACACTATCTGAACCGAGTGGATAGTAGCTGCTCAACAAGACAAGAAAATGAGCAAATATATCAGAACCAGTCCATGGTGGGTGAGTGAGGCGCGCTAGGAAGCCGACAGAAAAACTCCAGACAGAGTAGAGAGTATGGGAAGGAGTCAACAAGGGACAAAAACACATGGGCTCAGAAGGCCAAACAAGCGAGTAGTGGGGGAGGCAGGGTAAGCGGCCGGTGGGGGTGCAGCGCGAAACCCCACACAGTGATGCGGGCAGACGGATGACGTGGAAAATGAAGGAAGAAAAGGCACCAGGGCAAAAGGAAGACGTCAAGACATGTGACGAGGCCTGTAGGGAAAGAGACACAGGTAAGATCGGACCCCAGGCAACGACAAAAGGGCCAGAGTATGTAAAAACAAACAAAACAAACCGGCTGGACAGGTCGGAAAAAGCCAGCCCATTAAACGTGCCCACGTGAAAAAACGAAGTGTACCCTTCGCTGCCCTGCTCCGGGGCAGCATGGAACACATGCAGTGGCGTGAAAAAAAGGAAAGGCAACAGAGTAGGAGCGAGAATATATAAAAATATGCAGCAGCCGCAGGGCCGTCGAGCCTGGCAGAGGGAGTGCTGGCTGGGCAATACCATAGCATGGCGGACAAAAGCCAAAAGAGAGGAGGCGGCGGATGCGAGCTAGAGACGGAGGGGGCCGGAATAGGCAAAGGAGAAGCAGGGCGTAGGTGGCAAGGAGGACCTGACGCTGACCGGCTGTCTGCAGGGGAACAGGTTACAGGCACGCTGCACATGGCAAAGTGCGCACGCGTCATGGCGTGCTAGAACAGCGAAAACGGGAACAGCACACCTAAATAGCAAGGCCAGTACAAGGTGGGGACGCGGACACGCCGCAGTCAACAACACTGCAACCACCACCAAAGCGGCCCCACACCCAGCCGCGACAACGACATGGACCCCGCTGGAACGCGCGGCTACACAGCTTCCAGAGCGGGGGTGACCGCCGACAGGGCGCCAACCGCAAGGATGGACATCACAAGCCGATACAAGAGCAGGAGCGGCGGGAACGGGCACAACAGGCACCAAGACTACCCCCCACCAACACAGAGGCGGTAAAATCGGTCAAAAAGTGAGGAGTACCCCAAGAACAGGCCTTAAAAGACAGGGAAATAGGGGGAGGCAGGCATGCAGCAAAACAAAGAAAAATGTGGGAAGAGCAAGGACAGAAGACTTCAACACACAGAACACGCACAGGACATGCATACACAACACAGTGTGCGGACAGGGTGCACCGAGAGGGACAGAAAGTAGGGGGGGCCAGAAAGTGGATAACGAAGAATGTGTGAAAATGTGAAGGTAGGCGATACTCCAAACGCGAGGAGGGGCCGTGCAAAAGTGGGAGTAAAGGAAGAGAAGAAAGGACAAGTGACTGGAACATGATGACGAAAAAAAGTCGTGGTGGTGTGTGGGGTAAAAAAAAAAACCTCCCAGCAGGGAAGGCCAGCCCCACGGAGGCCAGAACAGGAAATTGGAGGGACCAAAAGAGATGGTGGTCACGGGGTCTGACAGTTCGTGCATGTTCGTCCGCGCCTCCTGCCATAAACCCAGCCATGAGAAACACAGCACAGCACAGTACGAGGAGTAAAAACGTAAATGGACGAGGTCACGCGCGCTGTAAAGAGGTAATGAACGCAGCCACCCAAGGGAGTGATACGAGCGAGAGACAGTGGGAGGGGGGCGATGAAGCATTACGAAAGACGGCCAAGCGGGAAGTCAAACGTGGTAGGAAAATACAGCAGAAGAAAGGAGAGCTGTACGGTGGCCCGCGCAGGCAGTAGCGCACGTGCGCTCGCGCAGCGGGCCGATACACTACCCCATACCACAGAAGAATCCCAAGTAAAACGCAGCACAAGAAGTGCGAGGGAGCAGGAGCCACGGGGCAGGCGCAAGATGTGGGAACGAGAGCTGCTGTGGAGCACAGCACAACAGGACAGTGGCAGTTGGAGAAAAAAAAAGTGTGCCAAGCGGGGAGGCACGAATGACTGGCACACTTCGCGATGCCAGAAACGGAAAACCTGCGCGTACAATGACGCTATCAAGGAGGAAACTGAGAGCACCAAGGCATGAACACACGGTAAAGAAGGAGTGGGGGAAAGAAAGGCTGCACAGGAAGTGGACAGTGTGATATATAGACTGGGAGAGGAGTGATACTGAGAGTGATACAGTGCAGCAGGTACAGAGCGTAAGATGGATGACATGTGAGAATAACAAGACGTAGCAGAAGGATTGCAGGCAGAGTAAATCGCGGGAAAAGTGAAGCGGTGGTGGTATGCAGAAGGAGCGGTGGCATCAATCATATCAGCTGGTCCAAGAGAGAGCAAGAAGGGGGAAAAAAAAAAGAATGTAGCCAGGCTTGTGGCACAGGTGTGCAACGGCGGGAAAAGCCCTGGCAGGCCGCAGCCACTGGGGACGTGAATCGCCGTTGCAAACAATGGATGACCAAAAAAATGAACAAGGGGTCGCAGGAGTGGCTGTGAAATCGGCGGCCGGCGAGGGCCGAGGCGGAAGTGAGCGGGGAAAAGAAGTGCAGGATGAGCGGCTGCAGGCCCATAACAAATGGTGGAGGAGAAGGATGAACCAAGGAAAAGCGCACAAAGTAAAAGCAGATGGGCAGAGGCGTGCGCAGAAGAGGAAAAAACTGGGGACGTGGACTGACGGGCGGCGTTACTGGCTGTGATGGAGAAAGTTAGAAAAGGGTGCGAGGCACAGGAGGACGCCTGAAAGAGCACGGGTGGTCACACTAATGTTTATGACAAACACTTTAACGCACATTATGCATGTGCAATA